AAAATGTCGACTTTCTAATGTAATTTCGCTAATTTTAATATTTGCTTAATGGGAGAAAATGTTATACTTGTCCAAAATGGTCGACTTTTTAGTAAGGAAGTAACAAATGACTTGCGCTCATACCTAAATTGGCTGGTTATTCGCTATAAGTCAAGTAAACTACCGACAATTATATGGTCAGGAATGGCTGACAACGTTTTGGCAACAGTAGCTCATGTAGACCCACTCAGTAATCCTTACTCCCTGCATGTTTTCCTACGAAAGTGGGGGTTATAGGGTTTTATGGGTGGGGGATTAGGACACGCAGTGGGATATACTTTAATAAATGCTAAATCCATTTTTATTTTACTGTATTTAGAAGTGTTGTTGATATTTATCTGTAGATTTTCCTATTCTGTTTTACCGTTTAACTTATTGCGGAAAAACCCGATTATCAAATGTCAGGTTTCTTGAATTTCCCGAAAAATTGAAATGGTGGTTAGGAGGTCGTCTACATCAACTTACCTGAGGTCCATCTTACCGTTCTGGAGTTAGATTAGTATAGTCCGCGGGGCGAAGCGCCACACACACCTTCAATTTACATGCGGAACTACTTACTCCCAGCGGCCGCGGGAAACAACTTCGACTACATTTTTTTCACTTTACACTTACTTCTAAAAATTTCCTTCGCCTATCCTATTCCCCACCCCCCTAAAACTTTATAAACACCGTTTTTGCAGGAGAAAATGCTGGGAGTAGGGGTATTATATTACCACCGTTTTTGCAGGATAAAATGCTGGGACTAGTGGTATATGGGTGGGCCTACGTAAGCTACTTTTGTCAAAGTTTTCAATGCGGACTTAGAACAGCACGTGCGTTTGTATTGCCGATCAAACCTGTTATTGCAATACCAGTCAAAACAGTGGAGCACAACATCATTTGACGTGTGGTGAAGAGAGGCTAAAAATAGTTTGGCAGCGTTCTCTGACCCAGGGTAGACAGTGGCACAGAATGGAAATTATCCAATGTGCACACAACGTACTTGCGCCGATTCTCCAGGACGCTTTCGTAGCCGTGGAAAAAGTGATTGTAATTGAAATAGCATGCATTGCAAATTTTGTGCTAACTGGACAAAGAGGCTTCAAAAACAAAAGATAACACATTCCTACCTTCTTTATCCTGCCACGGAGATCAACAATGAACATCTTCCGAAGGTTGTGCAGCGTCTGCAGATCAGTCATAATACTGTCCTCGAGGGGCTTTATATCACTTTTTGCCTTTTCTTTCACCGCTGCGACTGGATCCGTTTTACCGTCGCCAACGAAACGCTTCTTCATGGCTTCCACATCAAGCATAACACTGTCCATCTGTAGCTTCAATACCAAATTCTGTCTGTTATGAGAAGGGAATATTCGTTTTTTGTACATAATAACTTAAAATATACAAAAAGTATAAATAAATAGGAAGGT